GCGCAAAAAACCGATTTTTGTGACCTTTGACCTTGAAATTTAATAGTTGCTTACACCCTACCATATGTAGGTTTTGAGACAACTTTTAGGGTGTCAATATACAAGTATTTACAGACTTACAGCTGGGTATCTCGAATTCCGAGGTGAACTTACTATAATGACTGGACTAAATGTGGTTTAGAAATGTATTTTTTCAGGTGATCAGAAAATATACCATATCCAATACATTTATTGATTATTATTGATGAAGGAAAACTTTTGAACCTAACAATTTATTTTATTTTTTGTAGATAATTTGATCTTCACCAGAAGCTGTATTCATTTTTGAAGATATTATGATTTCTTTCATTTATTCTTCTGCAGTAGTGAAAATCTAAAAAACCTGATGGAAAGTTGTTCAGCCGGGTCTTGAATTTTTTTGATAACTAATATATATCACGCTAATATACGAGAAAAAGAAATTGAATGTATTTGTTATATCTTTTTCATAAAATAAATGGTATTTACTACCAATTATATTATTAATTACATTCCATTTTTATTATGATTAGCTCCTGCTTGTTCAAATTGTTTATTTATGTTTTTTTCCATTTATAATTTTTTCCCGCTCTCATTATTTAATTGAAACAGTTGCCAAACTATAAAAATGTCCAGGTATCAGTAAATTACTGCAACTTTTTTTTTATAATACGACGGAATCTGTCCATATCTAATATTGTTATTACTTTTTCAATCATTAGATTTCTTTATGACGCCATCTTGGTTGGCTAGATGAGTGTTGTGGTTCTTGTTTGTGAGAGCAGTGCTTGTGTTAGATACCTATAGTCTGATCCAGAAGAAAGTATCAAGTGATTCAGGAGTTGGAAAGGCTCAAAAAATCATAAAATTAAACAATGGAAAATATCATAAAATAATATATATTTCAATGAGATTATTTCAGTTCTCTCCATATTCATCAAAAGTCGAGTCTCTGTTATGATTTCCCAACTTGTGAAGATAACCACCAATTTAGCAAAGACTGCTAATCAAGATTAATGTTAAACGTTCTCGGTAGTCTTTGCGATGACAAAATACCTTAATTGGCAGTCTCCAAGCAATGCTAATCAGATTACACTGTGTTTAGTCATAAATCTTTCTTGTTAGAAATGCGATACTATACTACCAAACACGATTAAAGTCATCTAATTTGTAATTTCTCTAATCATTATCATTTCTATTTGCATTAATTAAATTTTCCGTCATAATCTCTCGTAAGAATCATTCAAGAAATGTGGTTTTCTTGTTTCACCTCGAACGAGTTTCAAAAAGTTCAATGAGCATTATTAATGAAAGTAATATTGTTCACATTATTTATTCGTATCTACTAATATTGTACAAAATCAATTTTTTGTCGGGAAAATCTTTGTTTTTATTGACCGTTCTGGAGAAATTCACCTTCTACAATCTGAACATAATACAAATTGTAATGTACAATTTCAAATATAGAAGTGCTAAAAAAATATGGATAGTTTTATTTCTCACTTTCCATTTTAAATATTTGTAGACAGGTCAAAATTTTTAGTTACTGTGTAAATTCAAAGTACCTACTCTTCACAAAGAAAAATGTACTGAAATGAAAGAGGTATATTTTAGGAGAAATTAATTTTTGGGAAAGGAAAATTTTGGCTTGGAGTTACGTTTTTTCAATTTATTGCTCCTTTTCTTTTTTTGAAAAATTCCCGCATTTTTTATCAAAATGGGAAAGTAGAATCCGAAAAAATTTCTTTCCCAAACATTTATCACTCCTAAAAATAAACCCCTTTCATTTTGAACCAGATTTGGTATTGAAGAAATGGTAAGCCAAGTATTTTTCTTTTGTGTCATTCAACTTTTTTATGAAAGTAGTTATTTCGGGAGGACTTTTTCTTCCAGTTTGTGTCTGAAAGTTACTTATTTTGTATGAACCACACATCTTTTGTATAAAGTTACTTATTTTGAGATTTCTTTCTTCCTTTCATGACATGTAGTCGTAATTTTATGAATGAATTGGATTTTTTTAATGTTATCCATATTTGGTACTAAAGATCTGATAAGTCAAGTGTCTTACAGCGAAACATCTGATGTCTACCAATGAAGATGACAGTGTTCCATGTAAATGGAATTTAACCTTTTTCGTTTACTACATTGTGTAGGAAACCTGTGAATGATATCTGATTCAATTCTATAAGGTATGTTTGGAATACAAACTGAATAAAAAAATCTGTTTGAGAATCTGTCGCCTCCCTACAAACGACAACTCCCAGAAATCGATACTTGTGCAAGCTAAGGATTAACGAGGTCTTACATTTCAACGTGTGACTCCTTACACGAATAGAGAAATGTTTTTTTATATTTCAGTGTTGATATAAAAGTATTAGTTTCGAAAGTATTTTTCTTTCGTGTACCTGATTCAATGGTTATTTGAAAGTAGTTTGTTTCGAGGGGGCTTTTTCGTCCTGTTTGTGTATGAAAGTTACTTCTTTGCATGATCTACACGTTCTTGTAGTTACTTTTTGGTAATTGATTGCTTCCTTCTTTTCTTTGAAAGATTTCAACATGTTTTTTGTTGTATCAAGATGGAGAAGTAAAAAGCCAAAACCTTTCTTTACCAAAAATTAATATCGCAGTTTCATGCCACCAATACACGAAGAACTTTGAAAACATTTTCAAGGAACCACGTATAAAGATGGTATTTAAAATGAGTTACACTACAGAGCCTTTTAGGAAATCCAACTACATTAAGATTAGTTAGAAAAGTTAACAACAACAGGCATATAGATGCCAAGGAGAGTGTAAAAATAAGTGAACATAGATAATAATATTGTGAATAAAGTTGATAGATCAATACCTAATAGTACCTATACTAAGTACCTTCTTGAGATAATTCGTTCGATTGATGACTTATTTATGTTGTAGAAATTCATGTTGAATTTAGAATAAAAATAATACTCTTGTCTAGTTTCTACTGTGTTTATTTATTCGTTACGACCGGTTTCGGCTTATAAGGCCATTTTCAAGTAAGTACCACAAATTGTCAAGTTGCGTCTTAAATAGTGTGGACAGGTATCTGCTCTAGGTACCTGACCTAACACGTTACCAATATTACAATATGTCACGATTACCAACTATTGGATGGATTCTAAAATTCCTAAATACAAAAGGGGCGAGCTGCATAGATCTAGTTGGTCGTTGAACGTTATGAACTTGGGGTCCTTGTACAATTTATTTATTTCCAACGCTTCCAATAAATTCATTGAGATAATATTTCATTTATCAGATTTACCTGACTATTAGGTAAGGCAACATTGTAAAATAATTTAAGACAATTTAGACGCAGGTACGTATAATGCATAATGTAACTCCATAATGTAACGTCCGAATTGACATGTGCAGGTACAGCCATTTATTGCACAATTAATTTTTTGTGTATATAAATTACTTACTTCATTTCAATTTTCATTATAATTACAGTGTTCGTTTCGGATGTTATTATTGCTACCATTTTTTTTCTGATCATCAAAACACATATAATATATTTTTGTTGTAGATATGTTTCAGATAATCATAAAAGGTTCTCTTATTCGAAGTTCATTGTAGAAAACGCTCAGAGCAATGGAAAAAATATGAATAGGTACCTAAAAATAAAAAAAAAAAACTCTCGAAAAACTCTACGGTACATAGGAGACGTCAAAGTTGCTATTGTGTTTTTATTCAACTGAGTCAACCAATTTGCAGGGCCGTAATTTAAAAGGGAATAATTCACACAATTATAACCGAAAAATCCCCAAAATATAAAATTTAATTTAATTTCTCAGTATGAAATGAACGTTTACGATCCAAAAACTACAACAAAAAATACAGGTCTTCATTTAAAAATTCTAAGATGGGGGTGGCCCAAGTCAGATGACACCCTGTATAAAAGATTCATGGATTTTCAATATGTCTGCGAATAAAGAAGATATAGGCAAAAACAAAATTGTTTTTTTTTAGTTTTTCCTGTATATCTCCAGAACCAAAAAGGCTATATTCGATTTTTTTACATCATTGAATATTAGGTCTCTAAAATACACAACTTTGCCACAAGTTTACCAACACTATCTCTTATCGTTTACGAGATCCCCATGTACAGAAACGAATTTGAATAGCCCTGTATATCAAGCTTATATATGAAAAAAATAAATTGAATGTATTTGTTATATCTTTTCCATAAAATAAATGGTATTTACTACCAATTATATTATTAATACATAATAACACAACAGGTCGGAAATGAAGTAATCCAGGTTGGAGATGGGAAGACAACGACCATGTACACCATGTCGAATCAAGAAGCATACCCTCTTTTTTTGGTTTTCAGTCACCAACAATATGATAAGTTAGTATAGATGAAAACTGCCATTATAGCCATCAAACGGTTAACCACCAATCCAACAGATCTTCCCTCGGATCGAGCCATTGAAGCTGATGAAAAAAGAAGGAATGTAACATTGTAACAGCGCAGCATACCGACTCCACCGCATGGAAAGATTGTATTAATCAAAATAGAATTAATCAGTTATAATCCGACATCGAGCGAGTGCAGATATTTGGTAGAGTTGGAATTCATTGTGAACAATGGAAAATTTAATAAAGTGTTCAGTGAAGTATTGTCTATCATTCGACAATGTGGATTACCACATAGGAAACTCTCAAGTGATATTCAGATCATTTTTATTTTACACACAATCTGCATACTTATGAAAACCTTTGAAGTCATCGCAATTGTTTAAATTGTTTTCAATCAGATAGAAAATGTCAAATGCATTGTATACTTTCAGGTTTGCGATGGAAAGCGTGATTAGAGAAGGTGCTCTGAGGTTGCTGACTACCGAAAGTTCTTGTGACGTCATTCTGAGCTGCCAGGGACATCGTATGATGGCGCACAAGCTAATTTTATCAATGGCTAGTCCAGTGTTCAGGGTATGTTGCACAAAATCGCACAATTCTACACTGAAAAGGTGTCCTACTCAACTGAAAGTTTTTTATAAAGTTCAAAGTTATAATCCATACAACTTCTCTTTATCTTATTGATTCGATCACGTTTCCTGACTGAATTTTTATAGTAATGTGATTATTTTGCTGAGAACCTTCAATTTTCGATGATAAGAATGGAAGACCTTCATTAAAAAAAGCACCTTGCTTAGTTATTATCTATTCTCTATCAAGTTTTTTTGGACGATCTGTAGAAACTAATTTTTTCAGTTATAACCTATACCTTTGATTTTTTTTGTATACTAATGATCTGTTCAATTCTTGACAGAGAAAACTAGCGTGTAACTCTTTTGAAAGATTTCAGTATTTTGAGCAACAGAGTTAGAGACTTGCAAACAAGTCTATAGCTACAGTAATAATATACAGGGCTCTTCAAATTCGTTTCTGTACATGGGGATCTCGTGAACGATAAGAGATGGAGTGTCGGTTAAATTGTGGCAAAGTTGCGTATTTTAGAGACCTATTCAATGATGTAAAAAAATCGAATGTAGCTCTTTCGGTTCTAGAGATATATCGGAAAAACCCAAAAATCCCAAATAATTTTTTTGCCTATATCTTCTTTATTCGCAAACATATTGAAAATATGTCCGCATTTTGCTATTGGCATTTGGTGTGGGCTATCAGAATATGTCCATGAATCTTTTATATAGGGTGTCATCTGACTTGGGCCACCCCCATCTCTGAATTTTTAAATACGGACCTGTATTTTTTGTTGTAGTTTTTGGATCGTAGACGTTCACTTCATACTGAGGAATCAAATAATATTTTATATTTCGGGATATTTCGGTAATATTTGCTTATAATTGGGAGAATTATTCCCTTTTAAGTTACGACCCTGGAAATTGGTTGACTGATTTAAAGTTAAAGTTTTTTTCCATTTTTAGATACCTATTCATATTTTTTCCATTGCTAAGAAAATTTTCTACAATGAACTTCAAATAAGAAAACCTTTTATGATTATCCGAAACATATCTTCAACAACATATGATGAGCAGAAAAAGATATGACATCCCAAAAGAACAATATATTTGTAATGAAATGAAGTAATTTATACACACACAAAAATTAATGGTGCAATAAATTTTCGCATTATTTGTCTCGAAATGTCTTTCCATTTCGAGACAAATAATGGGCCAATAAGATGGCCTGCAAGATCACCAGATCTTATTATTTTGGACTATTTTCTCTGGGGGACATTGCAAAATAGGATTTACGCTGGCAGAGAGATAGAAAATGTGGAAGACTCGAGATTGATGATTTTGAACGATTTCGCAACAATGGAATAAATAAGTGTATTAAGGACAATAAATAATTTCAAAAACTACACCTCACATTTTGAAAATACTATGGATCTTCATCAAGTAACGGCCAAATCAATCAGAAAAAAAAGACAATAAATAATATGAAAAACTGAGTTCAAAAATGTCTCGAAATGAAAGGACTCCAATTCGAACACTTGTTGCGCCATTAATTGTTTTGTGTATACAAATTACTTCATATTTCAATTTTCATTACAATTATAGTGTTCGTTTCTGATGTTATTATTGCTCTCATTTCTTTTTCTGCTTATTGAAACACATATAATATGTGTTTCAATTTCGAAGTTCATTTTGTAGAAAACGCTCTTAGCAATGGAAAAAATATGAATAGGTACCTAAAAATGAAAAAAACTCTCGAAAAACTCTACGGTACATAGGGAGACGTGAAAGTTGCTATTGTGTTTTTATTCAACTCAATCAACCAATTTTCAGGGCCGTAATTTAAAAAGGAATAATTCACACAATTATAATTAAATATTACTGAAACATCCCGAAATATAAAATTCAATTTAATTTCTCAGTATGAAGTGAACGTCGACGATACAAAAACTACCACAAAATACAGGTCCGTATTTAAAAATTCAAAGATAGGGGTGGCCCAAGTCAGATGACACCCTGTATAAAAAAATCATCGACATTCATGGTTTTCGTTCATGGGTTTTCCTGTATATCTCCAGAACCAAAAGAGCTATTTCCGTTTTTTTACATAATTGAATAGGTCTGCATATGCAGACGACATAGTTATCTTGCAGACCGGCAAATTTGTGAACACACTGTGCGACAGAACGCAGGATGGGCTCAAATTAATAGAAACATGGTGCAAGGAAGACTTACTGTCGATCAATCCTAAGAAGACTCTGAGATGGTCCTTTTCATCGGGAAAAGATGTTTATCGGGCTTAAAACCTCCCGAAATCTTCCAAACTAAACTAAACTTCTCCGAAGTTTAGTTTAGTTTGGTGAAATACTATCCTCGACAGAAAGCTAACATGCGAGTGCCCGGAGTTATCGTCAATAAGAGAGTGTGTGTTCAGCGAGTCTTGGCCTACATCTGCCGATATAAATGAGATGTCTCCCAAAGACCTGTCCACCTTCCTGAAAAGGACAGGATGGACGATGACCTAGGAGGACAACTCATCGGAAGGATGTACAATGGGTCACATGTGGTCTAAGTGTTGGCTTACACTCACCCTCCCCACTCTACAGATACAGAGGTCTCTAAAATACGCAACTTTGCCACAATTTAACCGACACTTTAACCGACAAGGTCTCCACGTACAGAAACGAATTTGAATAGCCCTGTATATTTTTATTTTTGACAATGTTATAAAATTTTCATAGGATTTTTTTTTCAAGGACAAAACATAAGAACTACAGAAAAATCATAAAGGCGCTCTAAGAGCGATGCCTGTGCGAAAGTATTAATTGACATTGGATTTGAATCGCTGGAAAAACGTTCTCAGAAATTATACACATACATTCTTCAAAACGATAATAACAGTTGTCAACAAGAAAATCTCTGAGTATTCTTCTAAAAATGTTTTTGAACCACTCAAAAAAAGTTTGAGTTTAAAAAATGGAAATTTATCTGAGAAAACTGTATGGTCAAGTTGTATTCGTAAATATCATTTCCTAAAATATTCTCAGCTGCATGCTTCGATATAAGAACAAAGAATCAATTCCCTAATTGATAACGATTCCAGTGTGAGAATTCGTTTTTCATTTCGGTCTCTTTTATATGTTCATTGGTGAGTTTTATTTGATTTACATATTCGTTTGAGTTGTATCAGTAGAGTTAGGGTCTAGTCACTTTCACAATCATTATATCAGATTATATCAAAGTTTTAATTTTTATTCACAATCATATTTGAACATTTGATTATATTGCTTCGATTTGATTGAGACAGTGACGGTATTTGAAATTGTGAGAATGATACATAACTCGACCTCGATAGTCATGTTAATCTCGTGGCTGTCAATTTTATCGCTGTTGGGAAGAAGCGTTTTATCGCAATAAAACTCTTTTTTTGGTGGCCTAGCCTTCAATATTTTTATCATTTTCAAATCATCTAAAGAAACAATTCGTTCAGGCCAGTCTCACCTCCCTACACTGTAAGTTAATGAACTGACATCTATCAGAAAACAACTACTCCTTTGGCTAATACCACGAGGGGCGTTGGATTATATCTGACAGGTGTCAGTGCAGGATTCTTCACTGAACTTCACAGAAATAACTTCAGTGCATTGACACCTGTCTGATATAAACTAATGCCCTTCGTGGTATTATCCAGGGGAGTAGTTGTTTTCTGACAGGTTTCAGTTCATTAACCTACAGTGTAGGGAGTTGTGACTGGTCGAAACGAATTGTTCCTTCAGATTTTTTTATTTATAGCCAGTCTTCAAGTATGGCCACTGACTATATGTGAAAATTTTTATTATTTTATTGGTTTGAAAGAAATAATCGATGAAAACCGTGTAAAATAAAATATTCCTATTTAACAACAAATATCTATTATTCTTTCCTGCATCCATTGGATGTGATACTTACATCTGCTTTTTAAAATAGAGGAAACAAAATTTATTTTATGAACAGCGATACAAACTTTTCATAATATTACCTTTCAAGAACAAGGGTGTAAAGTTTTTTCAAAGATATACCAAACTGACAAATCAATCTTGAATGAATAAACCAGCAAGTAGATATTCGACATAGACTAAGGTGAGTTATTATTATACACAGTAGCAAAAAGGAAGGAATAATTTACAATAATCAACTGAAATCCTTATCAAGTTACTACCTACTGGTTTAATTATTCAAGAATGAATTGTCAATTTCGTATGTCTCTGAAAACACTATACAAGTCAGTTCGTCACATCCAACAGAGGACACTGCGAAATAACATTTCAAAAAAAGTATTTGCAAGTTCAAAAATTCGCTGAAATGTACGAAATCTTGCAATGCACAAGAAATAATAATTCGGGACCTCAACAAAATGGGCGGATCAATATTTTCATAGATGACTAGGCTGTACTAGGGCACTGACGAATCCAAAAGTGGCATCAAAACTGGTGTGGAAAAGCTGCCGGAGAAATTGGTGAACAGGAATAGATTCACTATATACTGGGTGCCAGAATAAGCTGACGAGTGTACCCTACTCCATATGGTAGTCTGGAAAGTTTCCGACCTAATAAAGATACAAGACAGTTCTTCAGATTTTTATTTTTCAACATAGTTTTCTTTTAACTTTACACACTTCTCCCAACGATGCTCCCATGTCTGTAACTCGTCCAAATAGTACTCGGCGTTTTTCTCTGCAAAGTAGCTGTTTACGAAGGTAATTGCCTTTTCATTTGACAAAAATATCTGTCCTCCTAGGCAATTTTTAGATGGGGAAACAAAAAGAAGTCACTTGGAGCTAGATCTGGTAAGTAATGTGGATGGATGGTCAAGCAGTTCAAATCGAAATTCGTAATTCGTGGACAGCTGCTGAGGTGTGAGACGGTGCGTTGTCTTGGTGGAACAGGATTTTTTCTGCAAATGTGTCCGTTTTTCTGCCTTCAAGTAATATTGCGTAGTATGGTCCTGTAATGGTGAAGATACTCGATTAAA